TACTTTTACCTTTTTAATTAGGTTCTTGTATTTATTTTTCTTTTAATTAAATCCTTATATATTTCACTAAATTTTTAATCAGGTCCATGTAGTTTTGTTTTTATTTTTAATTAAATATAAACTTAATTAAATAGATTAATACTGAAATATAAAATATTAATAATTAAATTAAATTAATAATTATGTAATAAAAAAGTAATAGAATAATTAATTCAGGAAATTTTTTTAGAACAAATAATTTTTTTGCTGAAAAAATTAAATCATTATAATAATTCAATATCTTTAGAATATTATTGTCTATAAACTAATATTAAATAATATATACTATTTTATGTTTATATAATAGTACTATTAGAATTTATAAAATAAAGAATAAAAAATTCAGGGACTTAATTAAAAATAAGGTGAATTAATAAGGATTTGATAAAAAGAAAAATAAATATAAGGATCTAACTAAAAATAAGTGAAAGTATAAAGACCTGATAAAAAGAAAAAAAATTATAAGGACCTGATTCAAAATTAGTTGAAACTATAACGAACTGTGAATTAATTATCCCAATTATAAAATTAAACAAAAAATCAAAATTAGTTTAATTTTTAATTTAGTCATAAATATAAGTCTTCATTATATTTATCTATTTTTTTAAAATAATTTTTGTAATAGTTGTATATGTTAAAAATTTATTAAATAACACTTGATTAGTAAGAATATTTAAAAAAATAATATATATTTATTATAAATAATTAATTTAATTAATTTTTATAATCAATCAATTCCTGCAAATTATGTGATATAATAATTATGGGAGGGACATAGTGCTAAACATGTCCCCTCGAATTAGCGCGTGTGAAGACGACTGAGGCTGACGCACGAGTGGCTGGTGGGTGGGGCGGCGTGTATCTAGAATTCTAGGGCAGCCGCGGCGGAAAAGATGGTGGAATCCGTGAAATCAAATGAGCTCCAAGAGACCTTAAAGCCATTTTATCAGAGAGCTGCAGAAGCAGAGGTAAGGCTTGTCTGTAATTTCCCTCTTGTTTTTGAATTTTAACTCGTCAACAGAAGAAAATACGGGACTCTGAAACGCATTCGCCTCTTTTTTTCTTCTTTTGTCTTCGATATTGATGAGAGCACTCTTCTTTGCGCTCATTCATCTTCTTCCTATGTGCCTTTTTTAGGCTGAAATTCACCTATTACTGTGAATCTGGGTGTACTTTGCCGTGTACAAAACAAACTTTTGGTTGGGGATTTTAGGTCGGTTTGTTTTAGCGCACTTTTCTGTGAACCACGGCTCTCGTATGACTCACATCTGATTTAGTGTCTTCTTTTGACCCCGAAACTATGGAATTGCCTGTCAAGATGACTTTTACGGCTGACGGCTGTTTAGGTGTGCATAAATTGGAGCTTAAGTAATTAGTATATGATTAATATTCTTTTGTCCTAGTAAATCAGAAGAAGTGAATTTTAAGGTTAATAACAAGATTTTGATCTAAAATAAATAATATATAAAAAATACTATGCCAAACAAACTCAAGTATGCAAGGCATACAAGTTTTTTGACTTTTTTCCGCATAAATTCGTAAAGGAGAACCATTGGCTAACAAGAATGTCTGCTGTAGGAACGTCTAACAAGACTTGAAGCTGCCTTGGCCAGTGAAAAAGGTAGGACCTGAAGCACTTAAGATAACCATTGGTACTGAGATATGTTGGTCTAAATTGTAACATATATGTGAAACTTGCTCAGACGCAGGAAATGAGGAACACTTGAAACAAATTGGTGATCTTCAGTCGAAGCTTGAAAAGGCTGACGCAGAGCTTGTTGCAGAAAAAGAGAAGGTTGTTCCCATTTGTACGTTTTCCACATGTTGTATTTTAAAGGAGTGGACAATTGCATTTATATTTTAACCAGCCTCTTAATTTTTAGGCTCAGAAGCTTGCCGCCGAAAATGAAAAGCTTCAATACCGTATAATCCATCTTTCGCGGGCACTCAAAGAGGCCAACATGAAGTTAGAGCGAGTGAGCTTTTTTCTGTCCATATCGATCCGTCTGGAATACTTATATAGTCATTACTGACTACATGCCTTACCTGCTATCTAAATGAAATTAGGGTCTCTGAAAGATAGTTATGAATCTCAGCCTCATATAGTAGTTGGGACTGAATTTCTGTGTGTAGAAAATTAAGCAAGTAAAATTTTCCATAGGTTTCGAAATACACGCTGTTGACACAATGTGTGCGTTTAAGTCAGTTCTATGGAAACGCTGCAACCGTATGAGGGGCTTTGGGCAAAACCGGGTATCAGACGGAAGATCTGAACTTGGGCCAAAAGTTGATTTTTTTTTAATTTTCGAGTCAGTATAGAATGTGCTCTCATTTCCCAAGATTCTAGAGTGGTTAGCATGTGAAATTGCATTATTTTCTTTCATTGAATGAATTCTATCTTACAAAATGTGGCTTATGGTGGAATCGGTGGTGTGTTTGTTACTGACCTCAGGTTACGACACAGGAGCTGCTGGAGAGCATAAAATTGTAGGATTCATGAACTCATGGGCTGAAAACTTTGCGTTTATTGGAAGGTCGGTTCAGACAGATTCTCTCGGTGCGAATGAGAATTGAAGGACGATGGCCTTTGGTGATGCTAAATGTCCGCAATCGGGAGTTTAACTTTCCAGATGTTATTCTGCCTCCTAATACTTGTGCATGGTGATAAGACAGTTGTAAAATTTGGGCCGATTAAACAATAGAGGTTTAATTCTATTGATGCTTTTTGGTGACATATTGATTTTTTTTTTCTCCCAGAAGAGGCATTTTAGATCTGCAATAATCAGAGCGGGAAAGACAGTCAAACACAAAATCAAGCCCCATAGTTAATAACCTCAATTTGAAGCTGATGTTCCCAGACGTTGAACAAGAACAAATGAGTGTCTCCAAATGGACAATTTTACATAAGCAATCGGTATTTGAAATTGGATACTTCAAAGTTGATCCTTTTTTATTTAATTTTTAATCAATTTTTTTATAGATATAAAAGTTAAAATTAAAATAATCTCTCAATTGTCACTTTGTTGATTAAAAATTATAAGAGCCAACATTATCATTATTTCTTAAAATTTGATTTATTTTGATTTTATTTTGATTTTAATTTATGAAATTTGAAGCCAATAATTTAGTCTTTGAAGGTTGATCTTATTTTAATCCGTCTAAAAATTATTGCTTTTCATATAAAATTTGAGAGGCCAAAATCAAAATAAGATAAGCTTTAAAAACTCTGGATGTAAACCCTCCAATTCAGAGTTGAACAACTTGGTCTCACCCACTAAACCAGCCCCAAATAGCAATCTTCTCGAATTTAAATTTGGGCACATAAGTTTGACATACAAGGATTTTTAAGCCAGCACGGAGGAATGCTTATACTATCATGTCCTGTCTGTCAATATTCTGTACATTATACTGTCACATTGCATCCTGCCTTACCTATGGTATATTCATAACTACGTGAAGCACGGTCATGCCTTCCAAAATTTACAGAAGATATGAACATGACCGAAAAGATAACCCTAACGTCAACTTTCAGAGACTGCTGAGTCTTTCCCTTAATAGTTCAACCAAAGCTCCTTTATTGAGTTTATAGTACCTTTTCACGTTGTGCTGCTTGGCTATTGCCCTTAGATCAATCAACTTCAAGTCCTTCAGCTTATCAGGCTGCAAAACTGAGGTTTGAGCATCTACTTTTCTTTTCTTTTGTGATTCAGAGAATTCGCTGTCATATGGAACAATAGCATGCTCTCCTGTTTCATGCTGACTAGGCTGCACTTCTCTCTCAGTAGCTTTTCTAACGAGGGACTCATTTGAACAGCCCTCGTCAATGCTGATGATGCTGGTGCTGGGTTTTTGCTGCCCCCTGCATGTTACTATTGTGGATGCTCTGGGACGAAGTTTTATAGGTCTGTCCCTTGGTTCTCCATCAGAAAATGCATCTAAATCAGATTTCCTTTTCCACTGATTTTTCTGTTTGGAAGGCAAGCTCACATTGGACTTGCTAAGATCAGCATAAGTTTCAGATTTACGGCCACGTGCTTGTGATTTATCTTCATCTTTCAGCCGTGATCTACTGTATGGGATGATCCTGGTTTGCGGCTTCGCAAGAATAAGGCTTGGATTATTCATGTTCCCTGCTTGTGGAGGATTTTTATCGTTTTCCACTTTCAAGGAGGATAATTCACCATCAGGAAGACACAATTCTTGAGGATAAACCACTCGTAGAGGTTTCATGTAGTCCAAGTCTTCATCCAGAACAATTAATTCTTTTGTGCAAACTCTTCCCTCAGATTCCGAAGCAAAATTACATAGCTTTCGATCTAAGTCACAATTTCCATCATTTCCACTATTGGATGGTTGTGAATCACTCGGTATGGAACCAAGACCCTCTTCCCTGCCCGTGATGCCATATGCAACTCTAGAAGCGTATGTGCTATCATATTCCACAATTGCATGTCTTTCCTGCGTAATCTATGAACAAATGCAATGACATAAAGTAAATATCTGTATATAACAGCTACCTATCCGATAAAGTAAATGGACTAAAAGAACAAGAAGAGAGCTTCTTGGACCTCAGCTTCTTTTGGAGCATTTTCCATGCCTTCGGAGAAAGATGAATTCGGTACTTGACCTGTGTCTTTGGCAACGAGTTGTCTTCTGTCTTCCTCGTTTCCAGAAACTTGCAAATTTGATGTGCCTGATAATTTCATTCCATCAGAATGGCCAGACCCAGATGCACAGCTGATAGCCCTCAAGTCAGGAGTTCCTACACAATCTTTTGCAAGCAATTCCTTAAAAGAATAACCAGTAAAATGTCAGGATCCATGACAGGTATAACCCAAGCAGAGAAAATAAGCATACGATAAGCATGGAGGTCTTGAGCATGCATCATTTAATGTAGAAATGGTTGGCAAGTTTAGACCCTCAGAGCAAGAGGGAAGTAAAGAATAAACAATACAAGCGGGCTTTAAATTGGGTATACTATTTTTTTCCTTGGATTTCAATACTGAAAATGGCTCACACAGTCAACTGCTAGTATACGGCTGTCAAATTCTAACTCTAGAGTCATTGTCAAATCAGGAATACTTCATTGTTTCTTCTCGGTGGTTGAGTCAATAGTGCTTTTTGAGGGATCTTTACTGACGTGCTTCATAAAAGTATTTGAGAGTTAAACAAAATGCAACTTGAGTCGTCATACTGTAACACCAAGTCAGAGTAGAAAGCTTGGGGAAAATAGGCACTAAAGACTAGCTCTAGGGCTAGGTTCAAATCTTTGTAATTCATTTAACAAAGCTGAACATGATAGTTAAAAGCAAGCAGAGACAAGGAAAATCTAACTCTGCTGTATGTGGGTGCGATGTCCCATATTAGAAAAAATTAAACTTTGAAAAGAACATATGAATAGGGAGGACTCCTAATATTATAAAATTTTGGATATGAGATGTCAAATGCATTTGCACAACTCCTCCCAATGCCCAACAGAAGTCTAATGGAAATCTCTTCAGTACTTGAGATTTTGCATTCTCTGGTATAAAAGATATGACTGTGATAACCAGGGCACTAGAAAGACTGAGAAGATCCATAGGCACCCAAAACAAATAAACAAAGACCTCTCAACATATCTCAGTAGTTTTATCTGTTATGGTGCACCATAGCAGTTACTGCTCTTATAACATACTTGCAGACTTTTTACTACAACAACCTGCTCATATTTTTGTTCAAACTCTCTCTGAAAGGCCAATTGGATTTTTTGCGTCGACTTGCCAGAAATTTGAATAGACTAGCCTCCATATGCGGAAAAGGGGGAAAAAAACTATCACTGTACATCATTAGTTTATATTAAACATCCCTATTGGCCTAAACCAGAGTTTAGATACAAAAACTTATGTATTAGTGGAGCCTTCAGAGTTTAGAAGATGGCATATAGAAGAGAGAAGTGACCGAATTAAAGAAAAACGTTAATAACTGAGCCAGAAAATTGAAAGCCTCTCTGCGTCAAATGAAAATTTAAATAACTTGAGGAGAAAGAAATTCCAAAAGTCAACCTGGCCACATGCGTCTTGACAGAAATCTCTTCGTAAAGCCTTCACTATTTCATGAACTGACTCGGCAGGTTTATTGTGTAATAGTGGCTGGGTCCCACTATCATCAGCATGATGATTTTTCAAAGTCCTTACAGAGACATCAAGCCAGTTGATTTTTTCACTCAAAGCATTAAAGCACAATTCAGGCCATTTTTCATGTTCAGCACAAGCTAACTCACTCTGAAGCGATAATAAATCTTTTCCAAGTTCCTCAAGTTCGGTGTCTTCCTTTCTTATTAAAATTCTCAAAACCTCAATACAACATCTCTCATTCAAGGCATCTTCCTCAATCGCATCTACAAAGTTAAGAGGAAAATAAAAGGGCGTCAAATATAACCTCAAAAAAGGACCAGACTTGCGCGGAACAAGAGAGTAAAATTATACCATAACCACAACCAAAGTAAAAGTCACACTGCCATCCAGTATGCTCGGAGCAATTGCCGTCTTGAACGACTGAAACTGGCAAATAACATGCAGACTATTACGAAAAGGATACGTCACATGCAATCCAGCAAAAAAATATTTAATAAAGAACCATTGTGATATGGAAGTTGATCAAAGATATATAAGAAGAATCGGAAACCTTGATCATACGATGAACTCCAAAGATCCCAAGCCATGAACTGCAACTATCCTGCAATGAAAATGTCAAAGATAAAGTATGATCCACATATAGCTTATTTTATGGAACGAAATGCCAAGGAAGGTGCCAACAGAGAAGCCACAGAAATCTAACTAGTTGTTTACAACAAATGCCAACATTTCTATGATTTGTACGAAACTTCAAACCCAAAAAAAAAAAAAAAACAAACAAACAAACAGGAAAAAGATATGCAAGTAGGATAACAAAATAGAAACAATAAATTTAGAAAAATTCAAAATCTCTTGAGAATAAAGTGTAAAATAGGGATATCTCCAGCACGCATCCCGCGTCAAACCCACCCCAATGAAGGACAGAGTGATGAGTAGTAGTGAAGAACGCAGGATACTCAAGGCAACGAGACAATGCGAAAGTGGAAACCCAGTTTAAACAAAAAATAGAAAAAATATCTTGAAGAAAAAGTATCCTTCTCAGGAATACAAGAACTAGACTTCCCACAGGCTTTAGACATTGTCGATGAAGCTCAGACCAAAGAGTGAGGAAATGGGTAATGCGTGATGGGGGGAGTAGCTTTCCGAGCAATCAAACAGTACCTCAATGCAATAAAAGATGGAAGACTATGGAAATATTGACAGCTTGAGCTTCTCGAGCCACCCAAGATGCGGCGGAGATGCAGAATGCGAAGACAAAATGGGTGTCTAGGGTTTCGGGTATCTCAAAAGTCAGAGCCAGAGGAGAAAAAGGAGGCTTTTTCAGAGCGAAGAAGGAAAGAAGCGAAGAAGAGAAGCTCTGCTATGTGCGTATTAACAGTAAAAAAGCAGAGACTCAAAGCGACAAACCTGCCTCTAACGGCAAGGAGGACGCGGTGAACTACAAAGAGGCGGTTTGAGCAGGGGACCACAAGGGAATTTTAATAAAAGACGAAGTGGGCCCGTTCATGGCGGTTGTTCTGTCGGGTCATGAGCCCTGGTTGACTGCGCGGGAACGTAGCAGGACTTTCGACCCCCGGATTCGTGAAGATGTTCTTTTTGGACTCATTTGTGGACATCAATGCTTTGTGCTTATGTGCTCCAGTGAGTTTTGCTGGATAACGAAAGTTTAAATCTTCAATTCTTTTTCCTTCGCCATGTTTAGAACTGAGCCCTTCACTCTCAACCCTTGCTCACACTCTGCCAGTGGCACCCTGTTTCTCTCAAACAGCCTTGCAATTTCTAGTCGGCTTCTTTATAGGCGAAGATGATTGTTCTGGCTAGTATCTAAAAAGACGAAATAATCCTCCTGTGAAACTAATTAAAGTTAATTTTGATTCTTAATATAGGGCTTATTGTTCATATTTACTAATTTTTTTAAATTATCTCTATTAGATAATTAAATATCAGAATAATACTTGTTACTGATTAATAATGCCCCTATATTTTTTTTTTTGGGGTCAAGGTGAGCTGTTCGTATTATGAATAATGTGATTCATTGTATACATTTTAATATTTTATGCTCTTGAATCCTACTTTATATAAAATTAAAATCTAAGACGAGGTAAAAAGATCCAAGATGAGCATATAATTTTAAGTGTTAAAATAATATGTTTTTACATATTTTGTAGTCTGGGTTAATTTAAATTATGATTAAAAAAATCTCTTAATTATACGGCACATCACACCTCTTTTGATTATTATTTAAATTAATTAATTTTTTAATTTAATTAAAATAGTTAAATAGGTTCTATGTTCAATAACGAAGGAGTAAAAGTTACTTCATATTTAAGTCTTGAATCTCAATCAAATCCAAGATGATGTCAATTATGCAAAAATTGTTGTTTCTAATTATTTTAAATCCAAACACAAGATTTTCCATTTAAATGTAGGATTTATCTTTGTTGGGTAAATTGGTACTTACAATTAGGGGTGTCCACCGGACCGGGACAGGCCCGTCTTGGTAAACAGGGACGGACAGGGATTTGTCCGGGACGTCCTGCTTCCCCTTTTTTTAAAAAAAAAAACTATAATTTTTATATGAATTTTTTTATGTTATAATCCTTATTTTTATTGGACTTCTAAAGATAAAAACATTATTAAAAAAATATTATGTAGAAAGTTCAGTTATATAGCATAAAAAGATGTAAAAACAATACTGTAAAAAAAATACCGTAAAAAAAATATATAATGATTTTATAAATTATTTATTGAGGAATGAGATTTTGTTGAGATAATACTACAAGTTAAGAGCTACAAATCACCATAAAAATAAGAGTTATTATTAATAAGTAAAAAATAATCTAATAATAATTATTAATAAATAATTTTTAAAAGAAAAAAATCCCGGGACGGGACGGGACAAGACAACCTTGTCCCGTGTCCCGTCCTGTCCCGTCCCGAACTCATCAGGATTGGAACGGGACAAATTGAACATCTCTACTTACAATTGCATACAAATTAGTTATTTAATATTTAAATTCGTAATAATGTGTACTTTAAGTTGTTAAAAAAAATCTAGAATTTTCAGGCCAAAAAAATCAAATGCAAAAACTAGCTTGTGATTATTCATAACTCTGTTATTTTATTATCGTTCTCCCCCAAATCGTCCGTACTGTTTGGGACTTTTAATGCAAAGAGACCAACCCCATAATCCTTATCATCACACAAATATACCGTAGTGTTATTATTATTAGCTAATTAATCCACTAATGTCCCGTGATTTATTTGGTCAAATGGTCTGTGATTAACATCATTGAAATTGATCGACATGTCAATTATCAATCTAATTACAGATTTCTTGGCCTCATCAACTCATTGCTGGTAAAGACTTTCCCATTACACAACGCGTTTATAATATTACCCTGCTCTCAAGTCACGAGTTGCATCTCACTGAGGTGGCAATTTGCTAACCGGGGGAATTTGGTGCAGACGTCACTGCCACTGTATAATGCCGCGCTTAATTTCAAATTATTCTCAGCAAATTATGAATTTCACAGCACTATAAAACATGAAATTGAAATTAGACTTCGATGATAAATGATTAGAACAGATATTCAAACGTTGTTTCGTAGCATTTTGAGGAACTGGTTCATTCACTCTTTCTTATTATCAACTAACAAGTATTTTAGTATACGCTGGAAGTGGAAGCACAGAGGAGGAGAACATATGGATGTAATTTTATTTGGGTTAATATGCAATTTTAATCTCAACCCTATTTTTCAAGTGTAATTTTGATCCTGATTACCTAAAGACCGGAGACAAAATTGTACCCGAGAAAAAAAAAGATCAGGAGCTAATCAGGGACAAAATTGCACCACTAAAAGATTAGGAGTAAAGTTGTACTTGAAAAATAAAATCAAGGTCAAAATTATACCTTAACTCATTTTATTTTTCCGGGAGAGTTAGGAGGAATGGCTTTACAGCCCTAAATCCCTTTTCTTTGTTTTTTTTTGGTAGCCAGAGACTTCATCCCTAGTGGGGGGCGTTATCATTTATGGACAATTTGATTTGCGTGAGCACACAGCCCAGAAGAATTCTCAGAGCAGAAATTTCTTTGGGCCAGAAAAGTAGCCATTCTAACTTCAGAGCCTTATTTAGGAATATTTCTTTTTCATTCTTAGTAATTTTGCCTTCTTTTTTCAAAGCAAATCACCTAATATTCAAAGTCACTTGAATTCTGATTAATTCAAGTTGGAGTCGGGTTGTGTCTCAATTAGGTTCATTCTTCTTAAAATTGTTTTCTGCAGTAATACAGATTTAAAGATAAGACTTCATATATAAACAACATAATCCTTTTATTTATATTGAGAATATAAATAAAAAGATAAGATAATTTGATAGACATAAACTTATTTTAAATAATTATTTCACTTTATATTAAATAAATAAATATGCCCTGTGAAAGATAATGGAAGGGAGACCATGTCAGTGTATACATCTTGCAGATTCAAGCTAATAACTAACAGGGGCATTCGGTGGCAGTGGAAAATTGTCGGTCAGCCACTCTCGCGACGACTGGCGCGCGGGAAGCGAAGTTGGTGCGAACATGTAATGAAACGACAGGTGGCAGACTTTGTCGTTTTATGCACCACGTGTCTCCTTCCCACCTGCCTTGGCTGGCCATAAGTCGCCCTTTATGGTATCGCTAAAACTTAATCCCTTTCGTTAATCATGACAATTCTCCTGAAGGAAGAGATTAGGTGGACTAAGGACCACAGCTACAATGTGGGAGACACGCCCTCAGATGACAGATCCTCTGATTTAATTGTCAACGACCCCACTCTCTCGTCTCTCCCATAACGAAGACGAATACACACTAGAGTTCAATATTTTACTCTCTGATCTGGTCTATTTAATTCCTTAACATCAACAATGGCGTTCATATAGCCAAATGAGATTATCGGAACCTGGACCTTTGTTCCCATGTCCACACGGGACAAAAGTTCCCAGGAGCACACATGCTCCTTGCTACATGAGATCTGAAGAACACTCCAAAAGCAAAAAATAACGCCGCAGTTAAAGGGGGGGAGAGAGGGGGGAAAAAGGTGGTAAATAAATATTTCTAAATAAGTAAAAACGTTTTCGATTGCTAAAAGTTAAAATGACAGCGTCCTGTGCAAAGCCAGGCACCCACCGCAGGCACAGCCAGGATCGGGAATATGTCGTTCAAGAAAGAAGCCTTCTTCATCTGTTCTCTGGTGATTCTTTGGTACTCCTCAAATATTGGAGTCATCCTCCTGAACAAGTACTTGCTTTCCAATTATGGTTTCAAATTCCCCATCTTCCTCACGATGTGCCACATGACTGCCTGTGCCGCTCTTAGCTACATTTCCATTGTTTTCCTCAAGATTGTGCCTCATCAGACCATCAAATCAAGGTCCCAGTTCATCAAGATTGCAACTTTGAGTGTTGTGTTTTGTGCATCGGTGGTCGGTGGCAACGTCTCCCTCAGGTACCTCGCGGTTTCGTTCAATCAAGCGGTGGGTGCCACCACCCCTTTTTTCACGGCGTTGTTCGCTTATTTGGTGACCCTTAAGCGTGAGGCTTGGGTCACTTATGCTGCTCTTGTGCCCGTTGTTGCTGGGGTTGTGATTGCTAGCGGGGTATGTTCATTTTGTTTGCAGGATCTTGTGTTGGTTATTCGTGAGGATTTCTCTCCTTGATAATGCTCATTTTGTTCATCCATCCCCATCTTATCATGCCGGCATAATTTCTTGTTTTAGTTCTGGATAGCATTGCAAGCCTGCGTTGTCTTTATAAGTGCTCCTCCAGATCTGGAAATCTGTTGCAAGTTAGTTACTGGTCATACCGGATCTGGTATTGTGATCAATTTAGCTGATCTATAGTTGTTAGGAATTTAAGTAATCTATATGTGGTGATATACATGTATTGAAACTCCCCACCATGATTGTAGTTCTCATCTTCCTCACTCATAATTTATGGAAATAAATATGAAACGGCTCTAAAAATTTTGCATGGTAAAGGAAAACGTAAGGGGAGCTGGAGGCCAAAACATAACTTGTTATTTATTGCAATCTGAGTCATTCTTCTTTACGAACGTGTCTTAGAAAGCTAATTCTTTATTCTTGTTAGTCATCTCGCCCTGGAACTGGATTTACATGATTAATAATGTATATTTCTGTCCCATTTGCCATGTCTTCTGAGGGGTTATAACATTTTCTTGTTGGGGCAGGGTGAACCGGGCTTTCACCTGTTTGGATTCATTATGTGCATAAGTGCTACCGCTGCAAGAGCCTTCAAGTCTGTACTTCAGGGCATCTTACTTTCTTCTGAAGGGTAAACAATCTATGCTACACCTATGATGATTTGTATGATCCATTGTTTAAAAAAAAAAAAAAAATACCCATCTAAAGTTTGAGATATCAACCCCTCACCTTTCTATTATACACATTTTACATATTCGTTTTTAGAACTTGTTCATTAATGGAGCTTTCTTTATAAGTTCATTTCCTTATTTGATATTCTTAAATGATAGAGCTATTTTAGTTGATCAGTTAGAATTTTTATTTTTATTTTTTTTAAACTCGGTGACAAAACTCCGAGGACTGAAAATGGGTGGGGGATGCAAATGGGGGGGGTTCAAGAGTGGATAATTTACTAATTAATCTGCCTTATCTGCTTTAATGGGAAGTCTTGGTTTTTCATCTCTTTCTAGGTACTTGGTTTGTGTGTCCTGTTGTAACTTGAAAGTTAGGTTGTTGAATGCCTGGTCAGGCCCAATGAAATGAAGGAGGTAAAAATGAGACAATGTAACCTCTTTCTTCAAGTTCATTCATTGAGTTGTGAGAAAATCTTCTGGGAACTGCAATCTTATAGACCAGAAACCATGATGAAAATGATAATGCTGCAAAATGGAGCTTTCGCTGCTTCCTTCTCATGTATATATGATTGAATCCAACCTCTTTCAACAGTTTTAGGTTCTTGTCCTGGCCACTTAGCTTAGCAGACCAAATTCAAATACTCCCTTTCTGGTGGCAATAAATTTCTCATAATGTTAACTTCAATTTCAAACAAACAGGGAGAAGTTGAACTCGATGAATTTGCTCCTGTATATGTCTCCAATTGCTGTCGTGGTTTTGGTTCCTGCAGTGCTTATTATGGAGCCCAATGTCATAGACGTCACAACAGCTCTTGGAAGGGAGAAAAAATCTATGTGGATTCTTCTTTTGCTTAACTCAGTGACCGCTTATGTAGCGAACTTATCAAACTTCTTGGTGACTAAGCATACAAGTGCTCTTACCCTTCAGGTTTGTTCCCTATACAAATCAATTAGTTAAAAGCAAATTTTTTACTAACGAATTCAAATTTTGATCCCTTCTTGGATATTAAATACTCCTCTGGTCCTAATTATAAAACCCAATTGACTTATTTGAGGAGGTTAAGGAAGTAAGTTAAGTTGGTTATTTATAATAAATAAGTGTTGTCATTCCTAAAATATCCTTGCTAATTAAGTATATTGGCTTAAACTATCATTATTAGAAGGATTATCTTGGAAAAAAATGCATAAATATAAGAGACAAAATGGATTGGGTCTTATAATTAGGACCAAATAAAAAGTCAAATTGGGTCTTATAATAAGGACCGGAGGAGTAATATTTTTCTTTTATGCCTGAAATTTAATTCAAAACTCAGATCATGATCAGTTTGCTCTGTAGTATTTTGTGAAATAGAAGTTTAAGTGCTTTTTGTTTCTTCAAGCAAACAGAGCGCTTAGGCACCACGTTAACATAATTGGTAATTGTGGTTCCTTTGAGCCCTTTTTACTTTTAACTAATTGACTGTGAGAGTTTCATCCTTCTGTAATACTAGCAGTAATACTGTAAAAATATAAATCGAATCCTCTACATCATGCATTTATTTTTTGAAAGCAGTGATACTTGCTAATTACTCACGGACCAGCAAAGAAAGAAAGAAATTGTTGCTTTGCTGATTAATCACCCAAATTTTCCTCTCAAATGTTGTGAATTAGGTGTTGGGGAATGCAAAGGGTGCTGTGGCTGTTGTGATCTCGATCCTTATATTTAGAAATCCTGTGACTGTTGTGGGCATGGCGGGCTACACAATTACAGTATTGGGGGTGGCAGCATATGGAGAAACAAAGAGAAGGTTTAGATGAACCAATATTTCTTTCTGTCTAAACATTCTCCTATTTAGTTTTGTAATTTGATTTGTCCTAGTTTTTCCCACATGAACATGATTCTTAGTAATTTGACCGTGGCCAGGTTGGGGCGGGTAAAGTGATTTTTTGTCATGTTTGTATGTATGCGGAAATATTTTTGTATCACGGTTAGATTTTCGAGCAGATTCTGCTATTCTTCGTTTACAGACGAAAATAGCATTTCGCATTTGGACAAGTATACTGTGGGTGGCAAATTGGAAAAGTGGCACCGTATGGAAGTTCACACCATAAAAATCCTTATATTAACTCGTGAATTCATATTTTTAACATTTGATGTCACGCCCCAATTTGGTCACAACTCACAAGCACAAAATTCTAGGGGGAGTTCCCCAGACGCAAAATTGTCATTATTGTTGAGGCGCTTCGATCTTCTGTCTTCACATATCTTTGGGTGGACCAATGGATGCTGAGAACATACAGCGAAAACAATCGTGGCGAAGCAAGCTTTATAACAATACAATACTCGTAACCTTGCTACGTGGAAAAAATGGGTCGACATTACTATAGAATACTGACAGCAAAGCGCCCCGGGAATTTAACATGGAGCAATTAAAGACCGTTTTTCTTAAAGTCAAACAAAAACTATGAGTTAGCACTTAGCCGTATGAGTTATCGAAAGTCCAACTTTGCGGAAAGATCGGTTCCCCCCCCCCCCAAAAAAAAAAAGATGTAAGCAAAAAAGCCATCGACCGATTTCCCCAGAGAACGGAATATGCCATCGATGGGTTCAAGCCATGTCAGGACCAGAAGGCAATGCGTCGTAGCCATCGTGTTGTTTTGGAGCATCTTTTTCAACTGGAATGCACTTCAGGATAGCCCCTATGGGCAAGCTTGCTGCACCAATTAACACGCTCAGTACCCATAGTTGCCAGGTCAGAGGCACAGTGCTGGCAAATGTTCCCAAGAACTCAACAATGACCACTTGAAATGCCGCTGTGGAAACTATCACAGCTAAAAATATCCCACTGTCAAACATGCCTCTCAATATGTTTATCTTTTCCATGTCTCGGCTGTTGATCTCATTGAAAACCTGATAGAACAAGTAGAGAGACAATTAGAAAAAACGGCCAAGTGGACGTGAGGAAGGACAATTCAATAGATCAATCATGAGTTGTACCTGGCAAAAGACAAAGGAGTTGAATATTAACGTGTTTAGGACACTAGTTGCATCTGGACCATTGAGTCTCAGAAGGTTCTTCCCATCAAAATTGAGAATGCCAAGGACAATTAGTTGATATATACTTTGACCGATGATATTTCTCCACATGGCTTTGGTGATAAAGCTGGCTCCTCTACCAACAGGAGGCCTTTTCATGAGCTCGTCATTAGGAGGTTCTGTGGCCAGGGCCAATGCACCCAGAGTGTCCATAATCAAGTTGACCCAGAGCAATTGTACAGCTGTTAGAGGAGCAGATCCTGAAAACAAACGAGAAAACTATTATTCACGTTCCTCAAAAGCTCAGTGCAATAAATGGGGGAAAAAAACATTCAGAAACCAACAGACCAGTGAAGCATGCAGAAACGAAGTTGATCACAAGAGCGACCACGTTGACTGTTAACTGAAATTGTACAAATTTCTGAATATTTATGTATACTGCCCGTCCCCATCTGGCCACATTGACAATAGTTGTGAAGTTATCATCCATTATAATGACATCAGCATTTTCTTTAGCAACCTGTGAATGGCATAATTCCAAAACAAAACATAATATCAGAGTATTGATAATTATGTTAACGATAGAGGCACAAATAGAATGGTACGTGACACCTAGTTCTATAACTAATCAGGTTGTTTATTCAAATACACTATGAAGGGCCAACAATTGGGTCGCCAATACCAACAGCCACAGTGTGCAATCTGGTAAAAAGATTTTGAAGGTTTGCAGAGTTACAAAGGTAATAATGTCCCTCAAAAGGCTTAATGTGTGTTTTTCCAGGGGAAAGCGCAACGCAGATCCAAAAGACAGAAGTTATACTCTCTGTAGCTGGAGTAAAGCTAAAACATAACCCATAATAGGCAGTACATTCTAATGACAGGAGGATATCAATTGTGAATTTGTGACTCTAAGGAAGTATAAGAGATACAATACCTCGGTCCCAGCTATGCCCATGGCAAGTCCAATGTCCGACTCATGTAGTGCAGGAGCATCATTGGTTCCGTCGCCTGTAACAGCAACAACCTCACCAAACATATTCCGCAAATTTGTAACTAAGGTATGTTTGTCAAGCGGTAAGGATCGTGCCATTACCTGTGTCCATATTAAGCAAATAAGAAGACGGGCATTTCCCATAAAAAAGAGTTGAAAGATAAAATTTACAATGAAAATAGAACCTGAATATTTGGTACGATCTCCCTCATTCGCTCAGGAGTCAGGTTTCGAAATTCTGGTCCTTCAATGGCAACACCGCCTTCAGTCAGTATACCACATTCTTTAGCTATAGCCCTAGCTGTATGTATATTGTCACCAGTGACCATACGAACTGTTATTCCAGCTGCTAAACAAGTTTGGACAGCTTCTTTAACCCCAGGGCGCACGGGATCCTTGATTCCTACAACGGCTATCAGTGTATAGCCATTATCAGGGATAGTAGCCTCTCCTTGGTTATCATTTATATCTTTGACAGCCAAACAAAGAGTTCTTAAAGCTTCCGATGCAAAACCATTTATCACATCAGAGACATTCTTTGCACGATCTTCAGGAAGATCAACTGTATTTCCATTATAATCAATAATTTTGTCACACGTTCTTAAAATTATTTCTGATGCACCTTTACAGAAAGCTCGTACCCGTCCATCAGGAAGACGCACAAGGACAGACATCTTCTTCCGGACTGAGTTGAAGGGCTCAATCTTAACAACCTTGTACTCATTGCGCTGAGCATCAATATCACCATCCAAAAACAACCCAAATTCCACTAAAGCAGATTCTGTTGGTGTTCCCAATATCGTGTTCTTTCCATCCTTATCTTTAACTACTTCAGCAGAAGTATTTAGAAATATAGCTTGGAAAAGGATGCTCAGAACTTCTTCAGATATTTCCGTTTTCAATTTGTCTCCGCTCCCTTTACCTTTCATTTCCATGGATTTTTCGCATGTCCATATCTTGTCAACCACCATATGATTAGTAGTCAGTGTCCCTGTCTTGTCTGTGCAAATGCAACTGGATGAACCCATTGTCTCACAGGCTGCAAGATGCCTCACAAGTGCCCTGTCATTCATTAATTTTTTCATTGCAAAAGCAAGGCTGAGTGTTACAGCCAACGGTAATCCTTCAGGGACTGCAACAACTATTATGGTGACAGCAATAGCAAAGTAGTCCAGCATCTTCATTGCATCATTCGAAGACCAATTAGTAAACTCACCGTGCTGTGCTTTTTTCCACCAAAAACCTTATTATCAACACCAGAAATGTTACTACAGCAAAAGCCAGACCAATCTTACCAATAATCGTAGCAACTCCATTCAGTTTCACTTGCAATGGGGTCTCATCCTCTCCACCCTCGTTTAAGGTTTCCATCAACTTTCCCCATTCTGTCCTCATACCGACAGTTGTCACTAACATCTTCCCTTGACCATCTTGCACTTTTGTTCCTGAAAGAAGGAAAGGTTTTTCTTCATTTACGTCTACTGGTTCGCTCTCACCTGACAAACTCGACTCATCGATCAGCAAGTTGTATCCCCATATGAAAATCCCATCAGCTGGGACTTGATCCCCAGTTGACAAATGGACAATATCTCCTGCCACCAGATCATAGATTGATATCTTCTCCCTTTTCCCATCCCTGGTGACCTGAACAAATATCTTTTTTCTCCCTGTCCAAATCCCTGAACTGCAGCGATTGCTTGTAGTCGCTGACAGCAGTAACAATGACGACCAAGAATACACTAAGTAGGATTCCCAGACCATCATACACACCCTTCGGCCACCCTTCAGTGGCAATCCCTACACCTATAGCTACTAAAGCACAGACCATAAGAATGATTAGCGTTAAGTCATGCAATGCTTCCCACACAAACATCAGGAAGGTTCTAGTTGGTTTCTCTGTATAACGGTTGAACCCATAAATCTGTTGCCTGGTATTTATACTGTTTTTACTGACACCTTTATCCATGGAGGAGACAGATAATCTTGATGCGATCCCTTCAACTCCTCCAATTATTCTCAATTTCTTGTAATCATGGCTACGAACAATGGAGGCAATGTCATCTGGATTAATACCAAAACCAGCTTCTCTTGCCTCATCTGATAGACTGTAATCAACTCGACCTCCAGCTGCACAAGAAAGCCATAGATCAAAATAATTAGTTTTTAAAAAAACTGTGACTGTATAAACTGCGTAAGTCAAGAGAATAGAGCAAAATACCATCAATAAACTGCAATGCCGCCTTTTGAACATAAAGAGCAATCCGAATCGTTTCCTGAGGCAGCAAATAGGGATCGTACGGTAAAAAATGTAATGATAATATCGACATGAAAAATTTGTAAACGACAATTAACGGTCATTCCAACAGCAAGTGCTTAAGGAGGGTCAAAACTCAAAGCATAGACCATGTCCTTTGAACATACATAATTACAGCACTAATAGTATCCTCAATTAAGCCAAAGTAAATGAGCCTCATCCTGTCTAATGCCATTACATAACTTCCCTGGCGAAAGTCATAATTAAAAAATTTGGCTCAAAGCTTTTTAAGATCAAATATATTTGCTAAAAGCTTCACAGGTTTTTGAATAAAAAATTTGGAGCATGTGTTGAGTTTATTATCAAAGGGAATGTTTGGTAGTCGTAATGGGGGGAAAAACAGCATTCCTTTTATATTAAACACAAAAAAAAAAAGATAAATAATATTCATTATACTTTCACTTTTATATAATTTTTTTACTTCTTCTCAATTTATTGAATACAGTACGTATAGCAAAAACTAGCCCTATCTACTGGCCCAAAAGAAACGCTGTCCAGGCAGCGGGAATATCTTCACGGTGAAGAATCTCCATCTACTGGCCCACCACCCAACCCTCACATGAATTCTAGAGGATCTCATTTGTCAAACTTGTACCTACAATGGAACTAACATATTCAATGATGACGTGCCACTGTCTGATTCACAAGCCAACAAGACGCGTCTAGGCTGCCTTCAAGTCATTACGAAAACTGAATGCTTTGTTTTGGGGGCTCTACCAATGTGGCAGTGGCCTAGTTTTCTGTTTTCTTTCTTGTTTGCTCAAGCTATAGCCTTCGCTGAAGGGAGAACATTATTCAAGACAGTCTGAAGGGACTTATTTGCATTAAAGGCCAAAAACATTCAGAAACTGCTTTGTAGAACCTAAAGACCAAACCGAAATTAAGTGCGGTGTGAAATGACAAGAATCCCCCCTTGCTTGTACTCCAGATTTCAACAAGTTGTAATTTAATAGTAACATTATCATCATACACAAACTTATTTTCAATTTGAACCTCTTCTGCATAGCAATTTCAAAATGTTTTTAAACCTTTAATGCAAGTAAATTCAGGGCCTTGAATGACATTCTCCCAAAAAAAAAAAAAAAAAAAAGCTGGACGTTTGCATAGACAAGGGTGGTCGCTCCTCCACTGTTATCAGTGCCAGTCTGATAGAACTGAATTAAAGGATAAGTGTATGTCAGTCCTTGGATGAA